GGAATCGTCAGGACACTGCAGAGAGCACAGAGCCCCGTGTGTCCCTGTTGACACCTCGTGTAACCTGGGCGTGGGTGTTGCCCTAGAGCCGGCGTCGGCGTCTCCGTGTGTCCCATGGTCTCATGTCCTCCTCGGCCCGGGGCCCTGTCCAGGACCTCACACCTCAGTGGTATTGCCATGGTGGGTGCACCTCTGAGCACCTCCCGTTTTGGGTGCTCTCACCAGATGGGCTCAGTCCCATGGCTAGAAACCACACGTCAGCAGTCGGGACTGGGGGAGAAGGGCACTGGTCAGAGTGAGGCCAGGCCGCAGCCATCGCGTAGGACAGACAGCCCCTCAGTCAGCTGCAGGTGGGGCCTGGACAGAGACTCGTCCTGTCCTTCAAGCCTGGAGAGGACGGGGTTGATGGGCGGAGGCCTGACGTGGGAGTGCTTGCTCCGGGCCCCCAAGCATGAAGCTCTGGACCCTGGGGGTCTGGTGGGCCCCTTGTGCTGGATAGAACCATGCTATTGCTCCCTACCAGCCCACCCGGATCCACGGCTGTGCCTTCCCCTGTGGTCCTGTTGGCGGTCCTGGGACTTTGTGGGTTCTGACCCCATGTGGATCACACCAACAACACTGGTCTTGAAGTCAGAACCCGCAAAGTCCTGATTTCTTCTGGCTCCCGTGACCCCAGCGCACGGTTTTGCAGGCCCTCGGTGGCCTGGACTCCTGGAGGTGGGTGCTGGGAAGACATAAAGCTGGATAGAGACTGTCATGCTGTCCCCCAGGAAGCCATCTATGCCCCTGCAGCAGCCTGGGAGGTGCGGTCTCCCCAGCCCCCCAGCCCTGGGTATGGCAGAGGCCCCAAGCGCCTGCTCCTGGTTGGTGTCTGGCTGTGAGAGGCCGGGCATGGCTTCGTGCCCCGCCGACAACCTTCTGTGTTTCTGCGCCAGTTCCCGTGGAGCTCGCTTGTCCCGTGGGGCTGCTTTTCCTCTTGCCCTGTGGGACCTTTCCGAGGCCGAGGCCGAGGCCTGTGTGACGCCGGGCGATTTTCCGCCCAGTTTTGTACACTGGGCTTAGTTTGCACGTGGCTGTGTTTTCGGGGACGATGGCTGGAGTTTGTCTTGCTTGGACAAGGCTTTGCAGGTTCAAGGTTGTAGGGGTTATTATTGGTGCTAATAGTTGTATGAATAACGTTATTTCCAAGTCATAAAACCACTTAGTAAAATGGTAACAAAATGCTGCCTGGGAGAACCAGCCCTGCCAGGGGCCCAGGTGGGACGGCCACTGGGGCCCAGAGGAAACAGACAAAGTGAGCCCATGCCCCCTGCCGCACCCCCAGCCGCACCCCAGCACCCCCGTGGTGCCAGAGGCAGCTCACCAGCTCCTGAGCAGGGGTTGTTAGCTCTGAAGTCCGGGAACCTGCAGCTCCCAGCACCCCTGATGCTCCCGGCCACATCTCTGGCAGGGCTGGTGCTGCCCACCCCCCCGTGGCCCTGGCCCCAGGTACAAGTGTCACCTGGCTGGAGAGGGGTGTGTGGGCCGCTGCCATTCAGTCTGGCATGCTGTTTGTTTTTTAAAAAAATTTTTGAGACAAAGTCTCGCTCTGTCCCTGAGGCTGGAACCTCCATCTCCTGGGTTCAGGCAATTCTCCTGCCTCAGTCTCCCAAGTAGCTGGGACTACAGGTGCGTGTCACCGCACTTGGCTTTTTTTTTTTTTTTTTTTTTGTATTTTTAGCAGAGATAGGGTTTCACCATGATGGCCAGGCTGGTCTCAAACTTCTGACTTCAAGTGATCCACCCGCCTCAGCCTCCCAAAGTGTTGGGATGACTGGTGTGAGCCACTGGGCCCGATCTGGTGTGCTGTTTTAAACACTGGTGCTTAACAGGCACAGCTGCTCCCAATTCCC